TTTGAATCTATTTAGCTGTTTTTTTCATTTGCTTTTGTAGATGAGTAAAATATTTTTCAAGTAAAAGTCAAAAAACATGTATTTTTTTCAATTTTTCATCATATTTTTTTATTTTTTTAAAATTAAAATACATGAGATTATATAAATAATGGTATGTAAAGAAAGCCCCTTTTGTCCTGAAAAAAACAATATATAATTTGTATGGGAACAGTAAATGAGAGAGCGGAAAATTACAGCTAAACACAAACACCAGAAAAGTGTAAAAATATTCCTGGTTGCAAATGTACAACATCGCAAAAACAGTCCAGTCCTTAAGGGGTTAAAACCATTTACGCGTTTCACCTTTGGGGTTTTCTCAAAATGGTAAAAGAACAGTACACCTGGCAAGGAACTGAATATATAAGTTTTCATAGGTTGAATATGGCGCCAACATTTTAGTGCACCAATCACAAACAAGTTTTAAAACAAAACTTTAAATACATTTCAAATTAACATTAAAACCATATAGGTACATTAGTATGAGCCTAATTAGGCTTGAGGAATTTATATTTTATTAAAACGAAGCTTTAGAAAGAATTTAATTACAGTTGGTCCCGATCACGTGATCGGGACGCAGCGCGCATGCGCAGATCGTCTGATAGGCAGATCACTTCCTGGTATAGACGGAGTGCTCAGTGGCCGGCTTGGAGACACAATGCTTCTGGGGAAATGAAGTCCTAGCGGTCACTGAGCGCTCCTACAGTAAAATACATGACCAAAGTCAAATTTTACAATGTAAAAAAGACATAATAAGGATTTAAAACCATATTGTAAAATGTAAGCTGCCACACAAATTTATACATGAAGATTTTAAAAAAACAAGAGATGCCATAAAATAATGTTAAAAATATTAATATTAATAAAAACATTAATATTATTATATTGGTAAAAGTATTAAAAAGCACTCAGCAATGAAAATAAAAATTGACAAGTGGTGTGTGAATTATAAATAGTAGTATTATGATTGCATAAAATTAAATAAAGTCAAAAGTTTGTTATAAAAAGGGGGATATTATAAAATAGACCTATCATAAAAAATTGTGCAGGTCAAAATCTGCATTAATTCCATTTGGTGTTAGGGTCTGTAACTTATAGACCCATTCCATCTCAGTTTTACCTAAGATGTTTTTTTATATCTCCTCCTCTCCAAGGTAAGGAACATTTTTTTATTCCCATATATTTTAGCATTTTAGGATCTTTGTTGTGAATTAAAAAATGTTGTGATAAAGAGTGATTTAAATAACCATTTTTTATATTCCTACAATGTTCACCTAATCTGATTTGTAAACATCTAGTGGTCATCCCAACATATTGGAAGCCACACGGGAATTCCAATAAGTAGATGACATTCTTGGTATTACATGTAATAAATTTTGGTTTTATTTGAGGTAAATTCTATTATTTTTGGTGGCATTGTAGGATCAGCTGTTTTACACACAATACAGTTCTTGCATTTATGAAAGCCTAAAGATTGGGGGGGAAAAAAGATACAAGATTACTTGGTTTAGATTCTTTGGTGAAATTGGTGGTTAGAATAGATTTAACGTTAGGAGCCCCTCTGAAAATTATACTCGGCTTTTCTGGAATAATTTTAGAAAGTTTTTCATCATGTTCTAAAATATGCCAGTGTTTTTGAATAATCTTTTTTATTTCTTTACTTTTGTTGGTATAGTTAAAAATGATGGGAAGAAATATAGAATAATTTTTGATTTTGGATTTATACTTTAAAAGCTCATCTCTGTTTTTATTTTTTATCTCATTGATATTTTCAAGTAGGTCTTTTTCTGGGTAATTTTTCTCCATAAATTTGTTTTTGAGGGCATTAGCTTGTTCTTAAAAGTTTTCTAGTTCTGCGCAATTTCTACGTAATCTAAGGAATTGGCTTTTCGGGGCACTGTCAAGCCACGGTTTGTAGTGGCAACTATTCTTATCGATAACTGTATTGACACAGACTTCTTTAAAAAAGGTTTTTGTATTGATTTTACCATTTTTAATAAATATATTGAGATCTAGGACATTTATTTGTTCTTTACTAAATTCATGGGTTAAAATTATACCCCTATTATTAGTATTAAGAACATTAAAAAAATAAATAAGATTGTCTTCCGATCCATTCCAAATAAAAAAGAGATCATCAATATATCTAAAATATGAGACCAAAAGACCTAAAAAGACCATGAGACCTAAAATATGCGAGGCTATTCCTCTTCAAGTTGATGGTATTCCGGGCTGACCGGGCACACATTCTGGCGCCGGGAGGAGACCCTCATAGTCTGTTCCGGGGCCTAGGTATCCAACCACCCCCCGACCTTCCGAATGTGGCGATGTATCCGGAGGAGCTTCCACAGCTGCAGTCCGAGTGGCGTGATATAGGAGCGAGGGGCCATCGTTAACCGCAAAGGGTATCGTACATTTTACACTACAAAAAGTTCTTGTTTCGGGTAGGGGTGGTCGAGGAATTTGCTTGGGGGGTGACCCGGGCCGGGGGTCTCATACTCATCCGGGGTTCACTTTTCAGCCCACCCTTTCTTAACGTTAACTTCAACTTTATGTTCAATTTTATGTTTAATTTTTTGGTGGCTTATTATTTTATTGTCCCTGTTCGCAAAGTGATGGTCTGGGGGCCTGTTTTCTTTTCTTTTTTTTTTCAAGACGGGGACGACCCTGATTCTATTTTTTATGTGGGCAGGTGGTACCCCACCAGCTGCACCGAGTACCAGATTGACTGTTTTGGGGTGGGGGATGGGGAGAAATGGATTGTATACACACTGCCTAAGACGCCTCGGAGGAAGACCTCTATGTAGGCCGCATATTACACAGGCCACAACAGTCTCGTTTAGGACGGCACGATATGAAGAATGGGCCTAAGGGAAGTCCAGTTTTTGCATCGTGCAATCTTTATCCTTTCTGGACTATTCATCCAATGTATAGTGGCCGTCGCGGCCTTTTTTGATTGAGAGTGGTCACCTCACTCTTGAGATCCTCAACAGAGAAAATGTCATATGGGTTAATGATGTAACAGGATAATGGTTAATGATAAGGAGAAAGGGGGGTGGAGGGAGCGGAAACCTTTTAAAAATAATAATAAAAACACCATGGTCTGATGTAAGAAGGTTCAAAATCAAACGTAGTACAATTAATAGCAACATACTGGTACAGCTCCTTTCTGACCCACATTGTAATTATTTGCAACCTTGGTTGATGGGATACTTGATGGAGGAGGGGAACATATAGAGGAGAGATCGTAAAATGTATAATTTATGTATGCAACTGTTCTATCCTGCCCGAAATGACCAGGATCTCAGCAGACCTGGTACCAGCACGAGGTGACAGCAGATAGCTAATTAGACACAAAAGAGGCATACTTAGTACTAAAAGGAAGGTGTTCTGATAGTGAGAAAATAAGGTTCCCCCCCAGGAGACCATTAAAATTAAAAATAAAAAAAAACACAAAAAAATTTAAAATAAATAAAAACACAATGGCCCGATACACAAGGGTCCTGAACCAAACGCAGCCTACCTAAAAGCAAAATTCTGCTATAGTTATTTGCCGACCCACATGGTTTTATAAGCCACCTTGATTAGAGGGATACTAGCTGGGGAAGGTAACCATATAGAGGGGAGAAGGTAAAATGTATACTTTATGTGTATAACTGTGCTTTCAGGACTGAAATGACCATGTTTTTTGTACGCTTGAAGCCAGCATGAGGCGACAGCTGACAAGCTGGGTTAGATGCAAAAGAAGCACACTTAGTTTTAAAAGGATGGTGCTCTGACCCCCCCCCCATTGCACGAGAACAACAGATGTCTATTCTCTATATGTCACGCTTTATACCTGAATACACCAAACTCCCCCCCCACATATAAATGTGCAAAGCCCTAACGAAAAAGTGCTAAAGATTCGAAAGCAGTAGACGGTATGGGTCGTTGCAGAACGACGGTTGCATAAACTAGGTAAACACCTTAGAGATCAGATATGGTACATAACGGCAGAGGGTACTACGTAATCCTTTTAATTTGCCAATGGTTCCATAATATAGACATTATAAGGCCGTACTTGGGGTTAGTGGGTACTGGTTCTACAGGGGGGAGGGGCGCAGCTTGAGGGGTCCCCATGGTGTGTTCCCTGGCAAGGGATGGAAGGGATGACTTGGTGACACCTGGTTGCATAACAGACTGGGAGATACCGAGGGGTCACCGAGAGGAGAAGGGATTGGGCCCCCTCCTGGTCAACATGGGAACACGAAAGGCGGAACCACAAAATACAGGACTCCTGGAAATCATTGCAATAACACTGAGGGAAAGTAAGGGAGGGGCACTCGATGAGGGATACATCACTGCAGTTAAGAAAACCCACAGGTCAGTTCTTAGAATGAAGGGCACGTAGGATACGGAACTCAGGGATCCTTAATTCCTCCCAACGTTGATCATGGTAGGTATGTGGGAACATGACCCCCACAAGATTCTGGCAATGGGTAAGACCAGAGTTTCTTTGCATCTGCCTAAGTCCAGATGCCACTGTTCTTCTCCCTTCTTTCCTTTCTTTCTTCCCTTTTGTCCTACTTTGAGGGGTGTCAGGGGTTCTGGGGGGGAGTCCCGGGGGATTGCCCGGGCTCCTTGCAGGGAATGAGACGGAAAAGCAGCAGGGACAGGATAAGACGGTAGAGATAACCATAACACACAATGGAGATCAAGATCACTACATTGAATGTTAAGGGCCTTAACGCCCCTAGGAATGCATCCCTGTGCCCAGCTGTGGACAGGAGCTCAAGTGACGGAGTTCCAAGGTTCCAGGGGAGAGGCAGACAAGACCGGCTGCTCAAAGAATTCATAGCGGACACATAGCGAATAGTGGGGTCAATGGTGGGTAATATATCTCGGTCAGACCACGCAGATGTATCTATCACTTTGGGCAACCTGTGTGTTGCATCACCATGGACGTGGAGACTGAACGCGTCATTGCTACGAGACCCAGAGATAAAAGAGCAGATTCAGAGGGATATAATAGATTACTTCAACACGAACAACACCCCGGCGGCTCAAAAGGCAATGGTGAGGGGGACTCTGATCAAACTAGCCACCAGAAAGAATAAAATGAAACATCAAAAGCTAGAGACCCTCCTGGGACAACTGAGGACCCTCGAGCAGAAACTTTAAACGGCCCCAGACGATGAGACATACAGGCAGTTGGAAGCGGTGAGAAGAAACATTTGTACGTTTTTACTGGACAATACAGCTAGATCCATGGTTTGGTCCAAACGGACGTACTTTGAAAAGGCCAATAAACTGGACACACTCCTCGCCACGACACTACAACCTAGACAGGGACGGTCTCACATCACAGCCATCAGACATCCAGATGGCACAACAAAATCAAAGCCAATTGAAATTGCTAAGGTTTTTGAGGATTTCTATAAACGGTTGTACAATCACACACTGGACGGGAACTCTCATGACAAACAAGAGGAGGAACATATCCTCAAATATTTAGACGGATTAGGGATGAACAGACTGAATAGAGAGGCGGTAAGCAGTCTGGCGGCGGAAATCAACGAGGACGAAGTAGATAGAGCCATATCGAGTCTGAAAGGTAACAGAGCACCAGAACCAGATGGATTTGATGGCACGTACTACACGACCTTCAGGGAGGAGCTTACACCTCAACTGGTGAGACTTTTTGACAACCTGAGGCGGGGAGGACATCTGGACTCTGATATGGCCCTTGCCACCATCGTGTTACTGCCTAAACCGGAAAAAGACCCACTCCAGACAGGAAATTACAGGCCCATATGGTCAATTAACCATGATCTGAAGATCCTAGCGAAGATACAAGCGGACAGATTGAACCCATTGTTGAACTTGCTCATACATGCGGACCAAGTCGGTTTCATCCAAGGAAGGCAATTGTTTGAGAACACCAAGAGGAATATAGACCTGATCTGGAAACAAGTGGCCACGAAACGCCCACCTTGGTAGTTTCCATCATTGCAGAGAAGGCCTTCGACAGGGTCAGATGGCAGTTTCTGTTTTTGATGTTGAGACACCTGGGCTTCCCAGAGGAATACGTAATGATCACGAGAGCGATGTATCATAATGTGCGGTAACAGGTACGGGTGCTCCACTGAAGCCATTTGGGCTATACAACGGAACCAGACAGGGGTGCCCACTTTCCCCTGTCCTCTTTGTGTTGGCACTGAAGCCTTTGCTACAAGCGATACACCGGCATCCGAATATTAGAGGTGTTAGAGTAGGAGACAGAGAGTTAACAGTTTCGGCTTATGTGGATGACGTCCTCCTGACCTTGACAAACCCGACAATCGATGTCGGCACTGCAAGACGTGATAAAAAAATATGGGGAAGTGTCCGGATACAAAGCAAACATTCAGAAGTCCAGCGCTATGCCAGTCGCCTTAACAGAGGCTGATGCAGTTCGGATAGGGGAGACCTACCAAATTCGGATGGAAACAGATTCCTTGAAATACTTAGGTATCCACCTAATATCTGTCCCGGGACGTCTATATTCCGCCAGCTATGGTCCCATACATAGAGTGTTAATAGGGGACCTAGAAAAGTGTGCAGATAAACCTATCTCTTGGATAGGTCGAATTAACTGTGTAAAAACGAACATCCTTCCACGCATCCTATTTTTATTTCAAGCATTACCTGTTCGCATCACAAAAACATAACTGATACCGTTACAAAGATTGATAGGGGACTTCATTTGGCAGAACAAGAGGTACAGAATCTCTAGACAAGTTCTGTATAGACATAAAGACAGAGGGGGATTAGGCCTACCAAGCTTATATTTCTACTACCTCGCCGCCCAACTGACGCAAGTGGCCATGTGGCACTCCCCGCCGGATGAATGGAGGCCATACTTAATTCGCTCCAAATATGGGATGCAAATAACACCAAGTATGTGCTAGCATCGTCCCCCTCCCCTCTAACTCCAATACTTAGAAACCGAGAGTTTCAACCTGGAATGGCCCCCAGAGAATTTTGAAATATAGAAAGACCCGGACTACTGCGGATCCACCAGTTATATCGCAACAGAGAATTCGTCCAATTTGAGGAACTCCAACAAGGCAACCACTTAACCCCAGCAGATTTTTTTAGATATATTCAGATACGAGATTTTGCTAGAAGACCACATATAAGAGCAGCAGCCCAGGAAAGGCTGACTTTTTACGAGAAAATTCTGCCTAGTCGGAGTGGCTCCCAGGTGTATGATCACGCTTCTATATGCTCACCTCAGTGCAGAAAATAAAGAATGGGGGAAACTGAAATATGCCGACCAATGGGAGGCGGACCTTGGAGAAGTATTGGAAGGAATTGAGTGGCAGGAGATATGGGAAGCGAATAAAAATGCTTCTATATGTGTCACACTCCAGGAGCAGGCTTGGAAAACCATGCTCAGATGGTATACTACACCCGTAAAACTATATAAAATGCACAAAATAGACATGGACGATTGTTGGAGGGGTTGCGGAGCCCGAGGAACATACATCCACATGTGGTGGGAATTCCCGAAGATACGCAGCTTTTTGAAGTCTGTCGAGGACTTGCTGAAACAAACATTCGATAGGCCCCTAAATTTGGACCCGTGGATATACTTGTTGAACAGATCACTTGACGGATGGACTAGGAGAGAGCAGAAACTAGTACACAAGATAACTCTAAGTGCGCGCCGAGCAATAGCAACCACATGGCTCTCACCAGAGGGCCCAGAGTTCCCAGGGGTGAAATCTAGGATAAGAGAATGTAGAATTATGGACGACCTGACAGCAAAGGTAAAGGGGACGACGGCGGCATTTCAGAGACTCTGGGAACCATGGGACAATAGGCTAGCGGGCTAGAGTTGAGACTGACAGGGACTGGATAGGAGAGTAGACTCAGACTAGCCATAGAAGACACCTCCTTGCGGAGTATATAGACATCGCACTGTAAATGTGTTGTCCTCCACCCCCCCTCCTCCTTTTTAATTTCTTCATGACATCTTCTCCTTCTTCTCTATCTTCGAATTTCATATCTTTTCTTTCTCCATTGTTTTTATTCCCTTGGTTTTTCAAGGGAATTATTTTTTTTTTTATTTTTTTTAACCTGGCATGATCAAACTGTCGGAGGAATAAGGAAGCCCAAGGGCTATTGTATATGGAAATAGGGCTCCTCATATTGCCTAAATGCCTCATTCTAAAACACAAAAACCCTCGGTGGGAGGCAAGTCTCAATGGGTTTAAAGAATTGATGTGAATTGTTTACTAAAATTGCATTATGTTTCCAAGAACGATATTCATGTTGGCTTCTGCGCAAGCCCAAAAGTTACTGTACACTTGCTATGCCTATTGAGTGAAAAATAAAGAATAACAAAAAAAAGAAAGGGTAACAATGCACATTGTGGAGCTGCAACCCAATTTCAGGCAAACAGCACATCTTTGCAAATCACTCCTCCAAACAAAAGCCTGGAGATGGTATCATGCTCCCAGGAAGTCTGTTGTAGCACAGGAACTTTATTAAAGTCACATTACACACTTAAGTATGCTGAAATTCTCTATGTATATGGAGTTTGTCATATTTGTGGCAGATTATAAAAGTGCTGAATGAATTTTCATAGAAATCTGCTCTTTTATAAAACTTTGCTGAAATGCTTCCACAGGTGTCAATCAGACAGCCAGGGACTTTTTTTTTTCTGCTTTATTTATTTAATTTTTGTAATTCTTTATTTTTGGTAAAGTAAACATTACATACGCGCTGGTGTTGCCCCACCAGCTGTTTTTGTTTTTTTGTTTTTTTCTGCTTTTGATGGCTATACAGGTGCTTTGGGCCAGCAAATAAGTAGTTTGGATGTTTAAAATCCAGACCCAGAGTTTAACAGTCTGGATTCAGATTTTAGCTGTCTGACTACAATTAGTCCAGCTGAAATTCTGACCATATTCAGACTCATTAAGAGCATGTTTTAAATTGTTAAATCGCGTGAACAAATTTTGCATCCTGTATGGCCCCATCCACAGGTTTTACCCCATTTATTACGAGAATATTTGGAGTTTAGTGAATTACCTTGTGAACCTTCTACCCTAAACTCCTTCCCCCATGTTACTTAACATGAGGTTTCTGACCTTATTTTATCCTCTTGCCTCAGGCTCATTGATCATGTTCCTTCTTAACTAGTCCAATTGTTCACCTGCCCTCTTGATTTGTCCTTAATTGATATCTTCAATCTCTTTCTGCCTTCAGGAGCAATCTCATGTCACCAAAACATACAATTGCCTGTCTGATCCTGAAAAATACCTTTCTTGACCCTCCTTCTCCCTCTAGTGTTTGTCCCATATATGTCCTCTTCCATGTACTCATTTTACAACTCCCTCCTTGACTCTCTTAAATCCGGCTTCTGCTCTCTTCACTCTTCTGAAACAGCCCTCACTAAAGTGATCAATGATTTGCACACTGCTAAATCAAACGTTCCCTATTCTCTCACAATTTCCCCAAACCTCTCTACTGTCTTTGATACTGTTGACCACTTTTTCCTGCTTCTAACCCTCTGCAATGTTGGCCTTCGTGATTCTGTCCATTCCTTGCTCTCTTTTTATCTTATTTAATGTTCATTTATCAAATTATTCTCTTGCACCAACTCCTCCCCACCATCCATCTCAGGTGGTGTCCACAAGACTCGGTTGTTGGCCCCCCTTTGTTTGCTCTTTACACTGCATCTCTTTTACCTTATTAACTCCTTTGGATTCCAGTATTGTATGTTGATAGCACTCAGATCTACATCTCCTCCCTGTAACTTACTCCTAACCTTATGGAACATGCCACCAATTGTTTTTCCACCTCCTCTAGCTGGATATCTTCTAATTTTCTAAAAACATAATCTTTCCAAAACTGAACTTCATATCTTTTCTCCTATAAATATGCCTTTTCTGTCCATTTCCCATCGGGTCAATGGAACACTTATTACTAAGACTCCTCAAGCTTAGTGTTTTGATGTCACTTTTGACTCTAGCATCACTCTTTGGCATCAAATCATGTAAATACCATTTTAAAAATATTGCATGTGGGGGCACCCTCAGGGCACTATAGTGCCAGGAAAACGAGTATGTTTTCCTGGCACTATAGTGGTCCTTTAACAACTCTAACCCCCAATACTTTTCCTCTTGTTCTTTTTCCTACGATTGTCTCTTGTTTC